AGCTTTCCTGCTCCTCTGATGCTGGTTGGCCTGCTGTGTTCATCCAGCTCTACACCTTGTTATCTTGGAGTTTTTACCCTGACCAGCACATACTCCCAATTAACATCACCAAATAAATAGATGACCATTGTCTCTCTGCTCTGTGGAAGGCTGCTGTTTGCAGATTGATTAATGTATTTCTGATATTACAGCAATGGCTAGACAGCAGAACAACCTGATCGGTTAGAATGTACTGAAGTTGTTAGAAGTGTTATAGGTGCAACTTTGGGCTTGGTTAGCTTAGTTTGCTGGGAGGCTGGTTTGTAATGTGGGGTAACATCACCAGTACGTGTTCAATTCCCATCTTAGCTAAGGTTACCATTAAAGTCCTGCCTTCTCAAGCTCACCTGTCATTTGAGGCATTGTGGCCTTCAGGTTAAACTCACCACCAGTCATCTCTCTATTGAGAGAGTGGGACTATGGTGACTTTACCTTTACCTAGGGGTCAGCTTGTTTTTCCTGATAATGGGAGGGCTGCATGTAATGTTACTGTCTCCTGTTGCTTGAAGGAGTGAGCCATATTGGGATTTGAAAATGAGGATGAGAATTTTAAAATCTAGATGTTGCTGAGGTAGGAGCCAGTGGAGGCCAGGAGCGAAGAATGTGCAGGACATGTTAGGATCTGGGGTTTAAATTAAAAACAAGATCTTGGGTTGAGTGTCTCAGGTCAGAAAGACACAAGGGTTCGGGGAGATAATTCTTTGAAATTGGTGTCACAGGTGAACAGGATGGTTCCGAAGGCATTTAGCATGCTTTCCTTCATCTCACAGGCTTTTGACTATAGGAGTTAGGATGTCATGGCGTACAAGACATTGGTGAGGCCTCTTCTGGAGTACTGTGTCCAGGTCTGTTGCTCTGTTATAGGAAAGATATTATGAAACTGGAGAGGGTTCAGAGAAGATTTACCCAAGTGTTACAGGAATGGAGGACTTGGGCTGTAAAAATAGGTTGGATAGGCCGGGACTATTTTTTCACTGGAGCGTAAAAGTTTAAGGGGGTTACCTTATAGAGGTATTTAAAATTATGACGGGATGGATATAGTGAACAGCAAAGGTCTTTATCCTAAGGTACAAAAGTTCAAAATTAGCGGGGGTGTAATTTTAGGGTGAGAGGAGAAAGATTTAAAATGACATGAGGGGCACCTTTTATATACAGAGCGTGGTACATGTGTGAATGACCTGCCAGAGGAAGTGGTGGATGCAAGTACAAAGACATTTGGATAAGCACATGAATAGAAAGGGTTTGGAGAGATACGGCCAAATGCAGGCAGGTGAGACTAGTTTAGTTTGGGAACATGGTCTGCATGGATTAGTTGGATCAAAGGGTGTGTTTCCATGCTGTATGTCTCTATGACAGTATCGCTGGGAGGAGCAATGTCAAGTGCCAGGCATAGCACTTGTACCAATGAACTGGATCATAACCTCAATTATTCCTTATTGTTCTATTTTGTTATAAAATAATTGTGAGGGCCGTATTTTGCTGATTCGAAGAGGAAGAGAATCTTTGGTTCACTGTATTTTCCACTCGTTGGTTAAATCGCTATAGCTTTTCAGGGAAGAAATCTGAACTAGGGTCCTTGACGGACAAGGCTTAAAGTAAAATGTTAATACTATAATGTGGAAAAAGGACACTGGATAGATGTTATAATTTGCATTTTCGATTATATCAAATCATTCTGGCAATATTCCCAGTGTGCAAATTAATCTTCATTTCTCTCCGATATAAAGTTCCCCACTGTAATGAAAGTTTAAGAAACTGGATGTGATGGGACACAGCAGGGGTGGGCAGATGAGTGGCCTGATTCAGTCCCTGGGAACAATCCCTGGGGAAAGGGACAGCAACAAGAGAAACCCCAACAAGCGCTGGAAATCTGGAACACTGGGAAACGGGAAGTGCCCGAGACATTCGGATGGGAGGGAGTAACATCCTTTCAGAAAACACCGGGGATGTTTCATTTTAGTGGTACCTGAAACCTCCTTTCCGAACAGGACGCTGTCCTGTCCCGCTCAACGTTTCCGTGCATTTTCCGCGGGGCTTTAGTCGTTGCCAACGCCAGTCGATAGAAGTGAAATTCACAACATTTAGTTTTGACTAAACGTCAAGTCAGGTGTCGGCACTGTAATATCTAAACAATAGTTTTTACACCAGCGACTGACTTCAAAACATTCCTCTGTCCGGCAGCGCTTTGGGATGGGGAAGACACTATATAAATGAAAGAAATTTTTAAGAAGCCTATCCACCCGCATTCAAATCTCACACTCACCTTCTAAAAAGATTAACCAGCGCCTACTGCCTTTCGACTCTTTCATGTAATACCTGTGAAAGCAACGATAAATCAGTGAAACCAACTGAGAAGGGGGAATCCGTTTCAAAAGTAGAGAGAGAGAGTGCACTTTGTGTAAAAAAAAACTACTCTGCACCCTCACCCATACCGCCCTTGGAGTGTTCCAAACAAAACTGTCATTGGGCTGGGAACAAAAAGTGCTAGAGATCACAGCGGGTCAGGCGGCATTAATGGAGAGAGAGCAAGCTAACGTTTCGAGTCTAGCAGACCCTTCCTCAGAGCTGACGTGGAGAAAAGTCCAGATTCGGGGATTCTTCTCCGCCGGGGAATCTGGGTTAACGGATGGAGGGGTGATGGGGTGTGTTAGCTGACGGGGAGAGAGTCAGTGTGACCTGCGCTGTGAACCATTGCTGACCGTGTGTCAGTGTGCAGCGCCCCCCCTGCGGCGCCAGCGCCTCTTGGAACTGGACAAGGCAAAGTGTTACTGCTCCCGGAGTTATAATAGGCACCGGAATTTGGAACGTTAAAGCTCCAGTGGAATGGGCGGGTGATGGGGGTTTATAAAACCGGGGACATCCTCTCGCTGGAAGCTGACAGTCTCTCACCCAGCGATGTGACAAATTACATATCTCCCCGAGGAACAAAACGAGGCTGGATTGTTCGATGGTCTGTATTTCAGAGCCTCTGGACTTCAATACTGTTACCTGTTGAACTCTCAAATTCGCCTTTTCGTTACATTGTACATAATATAGAAAATCCACGCAACCAGTTCCAAAAGCCCGACATTGCTCTGAATTTTGTCACTTTTAAAATTGTTCTCATTTTTAAAATGACTGATTAAAGACGTAAAAAGATCGAGGAACTGCGTCCCATCCCCTCGGCTTTGGAGATAAGAAAAAAAATCTCATTTAATCTCAGCATCTCACCGTGACGTGTGCCTTAAAGTGAAAGGTTTAACTGGAAATTGAAAAAGTCTTTTTCTGTTGTTTTTCCTAATTCTGATTTGAAATAGGCGTTTGTGTGTGTGAAACTGCTCAGGATGTGAGGTCCAAAGGGGTGGGGGGGGGGGGGGGGGTAAGACTGATCAGGATGTGAATTCCACGCCGGGGGAGGGGAGGTGTGAAATTGATCAGGTTGTGAGTTCTGCACGGGGGGAGGTGATATTGATCAGGATGTGAGTTTCACACGCATTGGGTGAAGGGGGGGAAAGGGGGTGTTGGGTGGGATGTATAGTTTGGTTTTTGTACACTGTTAAAGTGCCGGGTCCCGGTGCGAGTGAGTTCCACCGGTCTGTCCGCAGACATCAGCTGCTGTACTCGGCACATTTACAGAGTGAACCCGCACGTTCCTCAGCAATCTTCAGCTCAGATCTCCTTTTTTTTAGGGACCGGTGTGTGGGGAGAAGAGAGGTTCCATGCATACAGTGGACTTTACAAATTCTATTGAAAGAAAAATAAAATTCGCAACGAGGGCCCCTTCAGCAACGGAACCAATTCGTGAAAACTCTGATCATTTATTGGGTGCAGATATTTGGGTATTTTTGAAGGGGGGGGTGATTAATTTTTCTCGAGCCGTGTCCGGTTTGAAATGAAGCCGAATGCCCGTGGATTGAAGGTGTTGTTCTAAATTAAAACCCTCTTGGGCAATGTGAGGTGTGAGTGTTTTTGGAAGGGGCCAGTTAGACACAGGGAGTGAGATTCCTTACCCAGCCGGTGTGCCGTCGTTACAGGTAACCGAGGAGTTGCTCAGAAAGTAGAGCCTCATGTCATCATTGAGCTTCTGGACGGAGCAGGGGTAGAGAGACTGAGCCAGGCTCTTGATCTGCGTCATGAAGCTGTCGATGTTTCCTTCGACCGCGGTGAAATCCAACGTGAAACTCTCCTCAGTTTCAGGCGTTGCTGCTGCCGGCTGTTCCTGCTGGCTCTTGTCCCGGGCGGACAGCCCCTGAGGCCGGCGGTAGTGGGAGTTCTGGCGGGCCCCCTTCCAGCTCTTCCTGGCGTCGGCGGAGCCGCCGAACTGCCACAGAGCGAAGCAGAAGAGGAGCGGGCGCCACACGCTCGGAGCAGAGCCCATTCTCTGCTGAACTCTCTCTCTCCCCCTCAAAAGAAAATTAAATCAAAATCCGCAGAGGCTGCTCCTGATGTCTCAGGACAAGATTTCAACACCCCCGCCAAAATAAAAAAAATCACAAACTGGTCCCTGAAGTAGGGAGGGTGAAACTCAACTAAATTTTTTTAAAAACTTCTAATTAATAAAAAAATCTCAAGCAGAATAAAACAGAAAATCGTGCATTCCAAACGTTTCAAATTTCCAGTAAAGGTAATTTACTCTCCCAATAATTATTCTTAGTTTAAATCTTTTCTCTTTAACAAGCCGACTTCATGTATATATTTTAAAAAGTTCTCTGCAATTCCTACAGGAGCCCTCTGGAGTTGGATTAGAAACCTCGACCAGCCCTGACTGCGGGAACCACGCTGGTTAAATACTGAGCTCCACAAAGTCCGTTTCGGTCAGGAACATGGCTCGGAGTGTTTGATTTGCCATCTCCGCTTATTTCATCTTCTCTCTGACTCCCTGCCAATGAACGCGCTGGCCAACTGCTGGCCTTGCAAAAACTGGGCGGACTCTGCAAGTGAATGGAGGTGCCGTTTCATCCTACACCCCCCCCCCCACCAACTTTTCAGCCCCTCCTCAAACATCGCCCCCAACCCCCTCCTCTCCCTCCCCCCACCCCACCCCGACCCTCTCTGAGGTGTTCCCGCAATCGCCTTTGATCTTCCCCATTTGGGTGTGTGGGGGGTGGGTATGAGGGGAGGGGGGGAGGTGGAGACCAATGGGAGGGGTTTTTCTCTCCAACCCCCACCCTCCGTTCTTTCTGTCCAGTTGCGCCGCCGCACCCCCACCCCCCAACCACACACAAACAGGACAGGGATTGGGGGAGAGATTGCAGGAACGCTGACTCTTTGATGTCGCCGCCGTGTTAAATGTTCCCGAAGATCAGAGCGGATTTATTTCCAGCCTGATGTTAGTCTTCCCAGAGAGAGAGAGAGAGAGAGAGAGACGGTGGGGTGGGTTGGGGGGAGCGTGCTCTCCCGGGAGATTTAAAGCTTGGATGTTCCGTATCGTTACAGCCATAGGGTACGGGTAAAGGCCCATCGTGTCAACATCATTCATTAAGCATCTATTTTAATCCCATTTTCCAGCTCCTGCCTTGTCTGCACTGGTGTTTGATGTGCTCTCCAGAAGTACTTTTTAAATATCTTCAGGTCCCCGCCTTTTGGATTCCGCATTCCCACTAACCTGCGGCTGATTGTTTTCCTTCCAATCCTCTTTCGACCTCCCGTTCCCTTCATTACTGACCTCTCCATTAATGGGGAAAGTTTCTCCTTATCTACCGCATAAATGCTCCACAGTCAGAATCCCGCTCCAACATCCACCACCCCCCACATCCCTCTCCGCTCTGAGGAAAACAACCCCAGTCTATTCAGGGACAAAAACAGAAAAAAATGCTGGAAAAGTTCTGAGGAAGGATCACTCGACCCCGAAACGTTAACTGATTTCTCTCTACAGGTGCTGCCAGACCTGTTGAGATTTTCCAACAATTTCTAAAAAAAAAGGCACCTCAGGAAAAGCTCAGCAGGTGTGTCGGCATCTTTAGAGAGATATGAGAGTTAACGTAGTGGCCCTTCGTCACAACTTTTCCAGCAATTTCTATTTTTGTCTCTGATTTACAGCGTCCGCAGTTCTTTGAAGTTTTTAGCCAGTCAATGCGGTCTCTCTCCAGCCTAAGGAATATCCTGGTGAAATTTCCTGTGAACTCTCTTCTCATTTACATCCCTCCTATTGAAAGGTGACCTGTACTGCATATAGTCCTTTAGCTGAGGCTGAACTGAAGTGTGTGTGTTGAAAATATTTCACACCATGGTCTGTCCCATCTCCCTGCCTGGTTTCTCAGCCGGACCTCAGGCTGTTTCAGTCTGCATCCAGGTTCTGTGCACAGATGGTACCCTGTGGAGCATGAAGTCTTAAACTCCATCGGAATTGGGATGCTCCCCAGCCTGGTGCTCTCCCGGGCTCATTTCAAATTGCGGAGGGGAGCGATTGCAAATGAAATCACCGTACACAATCCCCCCCCCAAAAAAAAACCCTCAACCCGTCCCCAGCAATCTCTGACAGGGAACCCTTTGCCGGCCTGAGCTGAGCCCGTCAGTGAGAGCTCATTTTGTTTTATTGAAACACAGCGATGCTCCGTTTCTCTGAAATGGACAGTTTCTTTAAAAAAATATAATGTCACAGGGAACAAAGGCCTGCTCAGTAGAGACCACAGCCCCCTGCTCAGTGCTGCTAGCCACAGTCTATTATTTCCCAGTCACGGCTTGTTTACACACACTTCGGGAAACAAACTCAGAGAAACCAGCGCTGTTCAATCCTCTTTGCTGCTAACGGTGTGGAAACCCCATTCAGAGGCTAAAGCGAACTCCCTGCCTATCGTGTTTGAAGTGATCGCTGCAGATAAGGAATATTTATTCATGAAACAACACGGGCAAAGGGAGTGAGAAAGAGAGAGAGAATTGGTTTGTGGGGCGCTGCAGGGTGACTGAGTTGCAGTGAGTAGAGGGAAGTAGACCAGGGTCACCTACTCAGAGGGAGTCGGGAGAAAGGAAGGGGACGGGGAGACAGAGTCGGTGAGAGGGAGAACGGTGCATGCTGGAGAGGAGGGATTTTGGAGGGTGGGAGAGGGAATAAGGAATGGCACGGTAGTGAGAGGTGGTGGGAGAGCCAGGAAGGCGGTAATTAAGATGTATTTTTCCAATTCAGTTTCCTTCATCTCTCAGTTGTTCCCCCCCGCCTTGGAGGTCGGTGACACCCTCCGGATGTACTGACAGAAACTGCTTCACGTGGGAACATCGGCTCCATCCACCAGGGCCCAGAGCCCCCGCAGAGTGTGCCCAGGGCCCGGGAGACTGAGAGACTCCCAGCTCAAACCCAAACCGGCGGCGGGTGGGGTTTAAAGGGGAACGGGCTGGGCCTGACTGAGGGAGGGAGGGAGTGATTGAGGGAGGGAGTGACTGACTGAGGGTTAGAGGGCCTGAGGGAGGCAGAGACTGAGGGAGGGAATGAGTTACTAAGGGAGGGACTGACTATGGGAAGGAGGGAGGGAAGGAGGGAATAAGTGACTGAGGAAGGGAGTGAGGGCAGGAGGGAGTCATTGAGGGAGGGACTCACTATGGGAGGGACGGAGGGAATGAGGAAGGGAAGGTGAATATCTGAGGGAGTGAGAGAGGGAGGGAGTGAGTGAATATCCGAGGGAGGGAGTGACGGAGGGAGTGAATGCCGGAGTGAGGAAGGGAGGTAGTGAGGGAGGGAGGGACTAACTATGAGAGGAAGGGATTGACTGAGGGAGGAAGGGAGGGAGTGACTGAGGGAAGGAGGGAGTGAGGGAGGGAACGACGACTGACTGACAGACTGAGGGAGGGAGGAAGGGTGTAAGTGAGGGAGTGAGTGAATGAGGGAGGGAGTGAGGGAGTGAATGGGGAGGGCGGAAGGGAGAGAGTGAGGGAGGGAGGGAGGGAAAGAGTGAGGGAGGAAGTGATTGACTGAGGGAAGGAGGGAGTGAGTGGGAGGGTGGGAGTTAGGGACTGGGTGAAAAGGGGATAGGGAGGAAAGGACACTGTGGCAGATACTGATGGATTGCTTTGCAATGTGTTCTCTCAGTCGGAGGGTCGGGAAGGTGTGTTGACGGTGTGTTTTCTCTCTGCCCGGGAGCTGAGATGAAATAAAAAGTTTCTAATTTTAAGTTCAGCAAATTCTCAGCAATTAAATCGGAAAGCATGGCGCAAACACGCAAATTCCCGACTTCAAGCAGATTATTGTTTGACTATCCGCTGTACTATCGGGCTCATATCCCACATAATCTGAAATGTTCACCCTGTTTCAATCTCCACAAATTCTGCCAGACCGGCTGAGTTTCTTCAGCACTGAATGGCATAAGATCTGGGTTTTTTTGCGTGGAAACACGGGGAGATCCCAATTGTTGGGATCCATTCGATTCCCAGTTAGTTTTCGGGGCTTCATCTGCCGTGAACTTCGCCAACAGGCGAGGGAGCTGGGTAAAGTGAGAACGTGATTCAGGTGTTTGGGGGGCTGCGTGCAGAGACACAGAGAAAAGGCAAAGGGCAGAGAGGGGAGGGGGGTAAAGGGCACAGAGAGAGGAGGGGCAAAGGCACGGAGAGAGAGGGACACAAAGGACAGAGAGAGAGGGGTAAAGGGCACAGAGAGAGAGGGACACAAAGGGCGGAGAGAGGGGGGGGGGTAAAGGGCACAGAGAGAGAGGGACACAAAGGGCAGAGAGAGGGGGGTAAAGGGCAGAGAGAGAGGGACACTAAGGGCGGAGAGAGAGGGGAGCAATGGGCGGAAAGAGAGGGAAACAAAGGGCGGAGAGAGAGGGACACAAAGGGTGGAGAGAGAGGGACAAAGTGTAAAGAGAGAGAGGGATAAAGGACAGAGAGAAGGACAAAGGGTAAATAGAGAGGGAGAAAGAGCAGAGAGGGACAAGGGGTAAAGAGAGGGAGGAGGACAAAAGGCAGAGAGGGGGTGAAAGGGCAGAGAGAGGGGGCAAAGGGCAGAGAGAGAGAGAGATAAAGGGCAGAGAGAGGGGGCAAAGGGCAGAGAGACGGAGTGAAAGGGCAGAGAGAGGGTACCTTTAAACAGGACACCGGGTATAAAGGAAACACCGAAACAGCTCAAGCTGCTGATCAGATGCAGCTCGGGAGTGTTCAGTGTGCTGGCTGTAAAAACGCCGTTCTTGGGAGACCGTGTGAATGCTTTTGTCCTGAATGGAATTTTTTTTTAGAGAAAAATAAACTTATATTAAACTAACAAAAGCAGCTTATGGGGTTCCGAATTAAACATAGATTTGAACTTTTTTTTGGAAATGCACAAATGGCCAGAGTTCGGAATGAGGACGATTCCTGAAAATGCAGTTTCCCAGCCTTTCCAGCACAGTAACTGGACAGGCCTGGGGTCCCCGCTTCCCCCTCCCCGAGCCCAGGCCCCTCCATTGAGCGCGGCACAAGTGTAGGCATGAGGCTAAAATCAGAGCAGCCATGGTTGCTGTATGGCCCCTAAAGAGAGCAACAGCCAGGGTACTGGTGTGATATTCCTGTCTATTATCAGGCCATCCTCTGGGAATTAAAATCTGAATTTGTGTCATCATATAATTGTGGCTGGTTAGCCACATTCAGGTCATATAAGGCAGACAGATCCATCTGTGAACAAATTCTCATCCCGTCAGTCAGCACTGGAATTGATGTCTGGAAACAGCGGTCATGGAGTCAACAGACCACAAGAAATAGGAACAGGAGTGGTCTGTTCAGCTCCTCGAGCCTGTTCCACTATTCAGTAGAATCATGGCTGATCCGACTTTCCTCACATCCACTTTCCTGTTTTTTTTTACCAAACTCTTGATTCCCCTCCTGGTCAAGAATCTATCTATCTCAGCCTTAATATATACTCAA